CGTGTGTTCCAAATGTTTCATCTATTTTTCAAAAGAATGTTGCAAGTGTGTTTATTTTGGGTGTTGCTATCTCGATGTTGCATATGTTTTGCAATGGCCTTTTTAAGTGTTTTTGAGATGTTTTTGAAAATATTTCAGACTCATATTTTAGGTGTTTCATTTGTCTTCAAACGTATATTGCAAATGTTTCATCTGGATGTTTCAAAAGTAGATTGGGGTGTTGCACATGTTGCAATGGCGCCGATGGCTAGCGGCCACAGCAGGGCTTTGACTCCTGCCTCGTGCCTTTTCTCGTGCCTTGCCTTCTCCTCTCGTCTCCTCTCCCTCCCCTCCCTTCCCTTCCCTTCCCTTCTCTCCATCTCGCCACGGCTCGGTGGAGAACGCTACCCGATGAGGCGACGAGCACGTGAACACCCACGGAGGTGGTGGCTTGGGTGGACCGATGGCTGCACGATGCCTGCGTGGTGACCCGGGTCCGCGCCGTCCACTCGCTATGCGCGGGAAGCAGAGCAGCCGTGGACGTTCGGACGTTCGGGCTAGTCATGCCGATAAAATTAACACCTCTCATACTATGTGAATTAGTGTGTAAATTAACAAGCCCTAGTAGGTAACACTTGCACATCATCTGGAGGCTTTTCTACCTAGACGACTAAATTGTCACCAAAAACTTTGAATTAGGTTAATGGCCCTGTTCGTTTCACCGAAATTTGGCTTATGCTGATGCTTATCACTATTACACAAATGATTTTATGAGGCATTGCCGAAACATTAATGGAGGCGGGCACAAAATTCAACCACCTCCTAAAATACTAGGCTATTAATGGAGGCGGTTATTTTCATTTACCGAGGCGGTCACGTTTGCATGCCTCGTAAAATTGATTTACGGAGGCGGTCAAAAAATAACCACCTCCTAAAATTGATTTACGGAGGCGGGCATCTTAAGCCAACCGCCTCAAAAAATCCTCTATTTCCGAAGGTGGTCATCTTAAGGTAACCGCCTCCATAAATCCATTTCTAGAGGCGGGCACACTATAAGGCCTGCCTCCAAAAATAGTGGCCCAGCTCCCAGCCCAAAAAAGCCCATGTCTGCCATTCTACCGGGCTCGTATATAAGCAACATTTACCTAAACCCTAGCCTCACATCGCTCCTCCCTAGCACCCCTCCCCTCCTGAGTCGACCTGAGCACGGTGCTCCTCCCCTCCCGATTCCCGACCCGGGCACGACGCCCCTCTCCCTCACAGCGCCCCTCCCTCTCCTCTCCCTCACAATGTAGTGCCCCTCCCTCTCCTCTCCCTCTCTCTCCTACCTCCGGTGGCGCGCGGGGTCTCTCCGGTGGCGTGGCGCCCTTGATCCGGCCCTCCGACGGCACGGCGCCCTCGATCTAGCCCTCCGATGATGCACGGGTGAAAGGTCCTAATGGCTAGAGGGGGGTGAATAGCCTATTAAAAATTCTAGAACAACACTAAGACAAGAGGTTAGACAAATATGAAGCGAAGCGAGTGTTGCGCTTGCCTACTCAAAATGCAAGCCTCCTATCCATAATTCTAGTTGCTATGATCTCTATTTCACACAAGGGGCTAAGTCACTACTCTCTAAGTTAGTGAGCTCTCAAATACTAACTAAAGAGCCTCACTAACCACTAGCAAGACACAAGTTAGCACTCAAAACTAGTTACACTAAAGAGCTTAGCTACACTAGGAATGTAAATACACAAGAGAGGTAGTGAGTTATACCGCCGTAGCAAGCGATGATCAAACAATCACAAGAAATCCCGGAGACAATGATGACACAATGATTTTTCTCCGAGGTTCACTCGCTTGCCGGCAAGCTAGTCCCTGTCGTGGCGATTCACTCACTTGGAGGTTCACGTGCTAAGAGGCATCACACGTCTAACCCACAATCGGGTACCGCACAACCAACACAAGATGAGGATCCACAAGCCACGCGCAATCCACTAGAGTATATTTTGGCTCTCCACTGGGGAAAGGTCAAGAACCCATCACAATCACCATGATCGGAGCCAGAGATAAGTACTACCCTCCACTCGACGATCCTCGCTGCACCAAGCCGTCTAGGTGGTGGCAACCACCAAGAGTAACAAGTGAAATCCACAGTGAAACACAATCACCAAGTGCCTCTAGATGCAATCACTCAAAGCAATGCACTTGAATGCTCTCCAATCTCACCAAATGATGATTCAATCAAGTAGGATGAGTGAGAGCGGAATGGCTAGGCTCACTAGGGTGTATTCTCAAAAGAAATGGCCAAGAGTGTTAACCCAAGCCGGCCAGAAGCCTTTTATAGCGCCCCTAACAAAATAGAGCCATTGGGCTCAAAGGGGGCTCCACTACGCACTGACTAGACACGCCGGTCGTAGTGATCGGATGTGGCCTAGCCAGCGTCTGGTCACACACTGCCGTCCACATGTCCCCGCGTTCGAATCTGCGTCGCTGATCTCCAACGGCTACTCGGTTGCGCGCCAAAGGTTAAGTGACAACTGGATGCACCCGCGAGGCGATTGAACGCACCGAGCCCGTGTCAGGTCACGCGCGCCCGCGCCCTCGAAGCCAATGATCAGACACGCTGCTCCGCCATCCTAACTCACCACTACGCCGCGTCAGGTCACTTCTAGAAATGATCCAGAGAGGTTTTTATGCGACCGAACGCGTCAGATCGATGACGACCGGACGCACCTCGGGGTCAGGTCCTCTCTACGCTTGAACGACTGCCTGCATCAGCGCACATCAGCCTGACCGGACGTAGGGCCTACGCGTCCGGTCCTTCCTCTTCTCCAGCGTCTGGTCAAAGTTCCGAGAGCTCCTTCACCGTGAGCTACTGACCGAACGCACCTGCTTGACTCCGGTCACTGCCGAGGCAGCGTCCGGTCACAACGAGGCAGCTTCTCCACTTCACAAACTTCACCACCCTTGCTCAAATGCGCTAACCACCAAGTGTATCACCTTGTGCACATGTGTTAGCAACTTTTCACAAATATTTTCTAGGGTGTTAGCACTCACTAGAATCTAAATGCATATGCAATGAATTAGAACATCTAGTGGCACTTTGATAACCGTATTTTAATACGAGTTTCACCCCTCTTAATAGTATGACTATCTATCCTAAATGTGATCACACTCACTGTGTCTCGATCACCAAAATAAAATGGCCCTATCAAATAAACCTTTGCCTTGAGCCCTATTTGTTTTTCCCTTTCATCTTTTCCAAATCCGGAGCTTGATCATCATCACATGTCCAACACCATCACCTTGGACTTTATTTGCTCCACCACTTGGATTGGTACCAACCTATCTCATATACACTTAGAGCCAAAGGTTAGCACCTAGGGTTTCATCAATTCACCAAAATCAAACTAGAGCTTTCAGTGGGGTCCCTCCGGCGGCGTGGCGACCTCGATCCGCCCCCCTGGCGGCGCGGCGTCCTCAATCTAGCCCTTCAGCGGCGCGCGGGGTCTCTCCGGCGGCATGGCGACCTAGATCCGGCTCTCCGGCGGCGCGGAGTACTCGACCCGGCCCTCCGACGGCGCGGCGCGGACAACCTCCCTCGCTCGACGTGGTGGGCTCACGCTCGGGGCCGGATCCGGCTCGATGGCGCGATGCGAGGCTTCGGCAGCGGCGGCATGGCATGCTTGCGCTCGGGAGCTATGGATCCGGAGCATGGCGAGCAGCGGCGGCGCAGCGCGGATGGGCTCGTCGATGGGCTCAACGTGCCTCACCGACGGGCTTGCTGGATTTTTTTTTTTTATTGATTAATCGAGGCGGGCATATCAACCGCCTCAATGGTTCACATGATTTATCGAGACCTTTAAATGGAGGCGTTTGAGTTGCCCGCCTCCAATAAGATTTTTGTAGTAGTGTATGCTGCAGAACAGGGCCAATATTTCTTGATGGAAAGAACAACAACAGTATAATTCCGTGGAGACCAGAAAAAGAAAACTTGAGTGGACTTCGGGAATCTGCCTTCGGTTCTTATCTGACTGTGCAAATCGCTGTGTTCTGCAGTCTGCACCTTTTTTTTTTTGCGTCTTCCCCTTCTCTTTTATTAATCTCTGAATGGAATCTGTACACAGCACGTTCCGAAAAAAAAATAGGAGGCTGCCTCCTTGTCCTCGTTTGTCAGAATCTCATCACTCTTTCATCTTTGCAGAACGACCGCTTCTCTCTCCACCACGCGATGTTGAAAGAAAAATTAACTTGTACTGTATTTAAATATGCTTCTGTAATACTGTAATAATTCCTAAGACGCACGTGTGGCAGGGTGTCGTTCATTCAACGAGAATGATTCGTGGGTTCCGTGGCTGCTCGCCGATTGAACGCTTCCATCAGACGTTGAAATATGTTTCTGAAAAATGCTTGCTTCGCGAAAACGTCGATCCAATTCAACGAAAAAGGTATAAACATTCAGAATCTCGTACCCTTCAATTGACAGTGTTCTAACAAGGTTCACACGACGAGAGCTGCTTCTTGCCGGTTGCACATTTTGCCACCCCTCTGTAAGGACTGCAACCGTACCTGACGGAAGCAGCACCTGAGAAGAATGATTTAAACGTTTCATTTTGACTAATGCTACAACCTGAGAAACCAGCACACCTGTCTTGCCTGGAGATGCATCCTACGCTACCGACTACATACCGTACCATTTTCGGCCTGCATATTCAGGCCTGCATCACATCGCCTATCAGTTTCTACTTGTCGGTCGGCGCAAGCAAGGAGCTAGGAACGAGACCTGGCTGGCATTGGAATTCAGGTACAATTCACTATGCTGCCGCGGAGTTGCGGACGGGCTCCGCCGCTCGCACGCAGACGCACGCTGGTTCGGCAGCTAGCAGCCTCCCTCTCTGACCCAGCGAGCGTATATATTTGCAACCCGGGCCGCCCACGTACGTGCACGCTCGGTGAGTGTACATCATCTAGTTTCGCACGAACAGACTCTTGTTTCTTCATTCAAGCAGCAAAGCAAAGACCACCATCTCCTCGATCGGATGGGCAACTGCGTGTGCCAGGCATCCCGGCACGGCGGCGTGCCCGGGACGGCCGACGGAGAGCCGGTGTGGGCAGAGCGGGGGGAGACCTGCGAGGAGGGGAAGACGAAGAGCGTTAAGGTGACGGTCAGGATGAGCAAGAGCCGGCTGCAGAAGCTGATGGCGAGTAGGGCCGGTGGTGGGGAAGGGATGACGCTGGGGAAGGTGCTGGCGGAGATCGTGAGCGCCGGCGAGGTGGTGGTTGACGTCCGCTGCTGCCGACGGCGCTGGGAGCCCGCGCTGGAGAGCATCCCGGAGGCCATGGAGAGTCGTGACGTACGGTGCATATAGATATAGCCACATATATAGGGGATGAAACAACGAAGGTATACATACGTGATGAACTTTAACCATGTACTGAAAATTCTTCTTTTACTTTGTTTTATTTACATGTATATCAGCACACATTGTATAAGCTGCCAGAGAGCGAGAGAGAGAAAAAAAATGATGTTCAACATACTCCGTAACATTATTTATTCGATGCGAAACGGCTTCAGAACTGCCAGTCTGCCACCGCGCCTACAAGTTTTCTGTGGCATAAAGCCACTCAATTTGGTTTCCAGCTTTGGTGACGGCTTAGCTATAGTGAGACGTTCTTCTTTATACATACAGACAACAACCGATGATTTGTCCATCTGTCTTTTCGTGACAATTGAAGTCGAAAACATATGCTTAGCATACAGAGGAAACACGGGAAAAGTATATTAATTCGAAAACACCCCCTTTGTGAAACCGTGAAAACAGTCTAAAAACATAATTAAATGAGACGCAACTAGCATATATGTTTAAACACTCAAAAAAACATACCTAAATTCCCAAGATATCCTAATCGATTCTAAACACGTTTTGAAAACTTTCCACAATAAAAATATGAGATTCAATTGGTATGAATGCATTTAGAATTAAATGCATATTGCTTAATTGTCGAAAGTTTTTAAAACACATTTATACATTAATTAGAATGTTTCGAAAATTCCTAGATCTTTTGGATATTTTTTAATTTGTAGAGATATTTTTAATGATCTAAATATATAAATTTTCTATTTGGGTTTTCGTGTCTCGTTGTATCTCTAGAATCTTTTTTGGAATTTTTGTAAGTTTAAAGATATTTTTTATGGTTTAAAAACCTTAATAGGTATTTATTGGATTTTTTAACTATTAAAATATGAAAATGTCTTAAAAGTTCTAACCCACTTCTAACCCCGGTAGAGAAACAATTTAAACAATTTTCAAAACTGAGGATGTATGAGACGTCTAGTTTAGCTTAGATGAGAACAGGGGTGGATCTAGCACCAGGTCGGTCGAGGCTCGACTCCTCGCTACTGGCCTACCATCACCGGAAGTATGGAGCCCCTCCTACAAGTTTGCAGCTATTACAAGGAGTGGTTAAATATAGAAAATAAGGGGGATACGGTGTTACACCCTAAATCATTTATTAAAACATGTCATGAGCATCATGTTTATGTGTTAATGTATGTGAAAGAATATGTAGATAAATTTCTTGTAACTTAAAATGATCAATAAAAATGCTAAATCAAAGTTGATTCAATAGCTCATGTATATCAAGTAGGGTTGAAAACTAATTTTTATTAAGTAAAAATACTATAGAACATGTGTGTGATACTTAAATAAAGTTTGAAGTACAAACTTTATAGATGACCGTGAAATACTTGCTGTTGACAAATGATATTACTAGCTGATATTTCTACTCGCCTAGAAATTGCAAATTGAAACCAAGTTCAGCTCAAAAACATAGAAAATTTCCAAGTTTGTCAACAGCTAGACATTGCTATGTTTAGCAAATTATTTTGAAAATTTGAGTTAAGAAGTAGTGTCGTGTTTTAGCTCAGATTGGTAGCCTAATAGGCCCTCTTTAGCATAGTGAAGGCAGTTTAGTGTCAACCTCAACCGTTTAGTTGCTATCGACGCTTTAAAATTGGTGCACGGCACGTTCGTGGGCTGGCTCGCCGCGTGGGCGCGGTCACCAGGCTCGGGCGCTCGGCGTCACCGCGCTGGTCGCGCGTGCGTGTGCTGCCGCGCGTGGCCGGCCGTGGCTGCCTCTGGCCTGGCTGTGTCTCGGCCGCCGCTGGCCCCGCCGCCTGGAGCCACTGCTGCTGCCGCCTACCCCGCCGCGCGTCGCAACGGAGCCGCTGCCGGCACCATCACCTTACCGTCGCGTCCGCACTGCTGCCCTACCTCGCGTTGCCGCTATCGATGCCACTGCGACGCTGTGCTGCGATGCCGCTCGCCTTGTCCTCGCACGCCCGTGGGCTGTTCCGGCTGCCACCTGTGGCAGAACTGCTCGAAATAACACATATTCGGAGGCGCTTGTGTTTCACTAGACACTTAGCACCCCTAAACTAAGCTACACCAGGCGGTTTCGTCGAGCACACCCTAAGAGAGAACTTGAACAATCCATGTTTTTCATCCAGAATCCAATAATGAGAACGAGTTCCATTTCATACAACAAGAGTTCTTGAAAATACATTATTACAATACCAAGTTCAGAGTGCGGAATTTAAATAGCGAAATTAAAAAAACATCTAACGATAAGATACAAGGATCCGTCTGTGCCCACCAGAATAATCCTCCACACAACAGCCACTCCTCAAACTACACCTGCAACAGGGGTAAATAAATCCTGAGTACACAATGTACTCGCAGAACTTACCCGACTAGTGAGAATAATTTTCCGACTCCAAAGGTGTTTACACCAGAATTTGGAAGAAGGATTTCAGAGGCTCGAAAACTCCCAAAAACCATGTCAGTGAGAAATCAATTGCATGTAGATCGAAAACAACTGATTCGAATACATCACTAGAATCAGCATTCTTCAGATAGCGCGAGTGGATAACGACAGAAGCTATGATTGGCGCTGGGACGAGGCATGCTGGACTCTAAAAAAGGGAAAGATTAGAGTCTAAGTTATCTTAAATTAGGAATATTTTTATTTTTTATGCCAAAGATTGTAACAAATCGTGCTCGAGTAGGATTCATGTTTATACTCCGGGTATAAATATCAAACCCAACTATTGTAAAAGGGAACCAATCAATCAAATACAAGTCAATTTACTTTTTTCGGCTCCGGCCACCCCTTAGGAGTAGGAGTAGAGTAGATCTCGACGAGTTCTTCAGCAAGTATGGCTGCATCGATCCGATCGACCTCCATTGCTTGTCTGTAAGTACCGTCATGGTTTATACCTCTGTTCGTATGGCTGCATCGATCCGGTCGACCCCCACTGCGACTCTGGTATAGGCTAGTTATCTACTCTTGCCTAGTTTAAATATGGCATGTGTGATTCTGTCTCACACCCCACTGCTTGAACTAGATCAAGGTCAAGTTATCGGCTCTACCTTTGAATGGCAGTCTTTGCTAGATTCATTAAGTTACCGATATCACTTATTGCTTTCATTGTTTATCTAATTGCAGCAATATCACTCTGCCCGATTGAGATTGATCTGGATCGGCCTTATATCTTATTTAACCCATCGTTTGCTAATTTAAAACTGATCTAATCTATATTTTAAACGATGCGTTATGTTTTTATCGACTGTTTTTATATCAATCTTAATCGCGCATAGTGTACGGTTAAGGCATGTTCGATCTTGAGTAGATCTATTGGTTAGCGAGAACCGCTCCATGGCTCGTTATCACGGCCTGTGGGATTCTGCCTCTCACCCCACTGTTAGCACCGTGGAGTGGGGATCGTTAGTTGATAGATCCGTTCCTAAGAAGGCATGACCTTAACTGTGCGTTATGCCTGAATTGGCTGTTTAGCCGATATCGAGCGCTCTCACGAACAGTTCACATTACGAGATCATTGAAGTAGAGATAAGTTGAAAGACATGTTAGCCCCATGATCTTGTTATTGTATTATGGCCTGCATGATTCTGTCTCATGCCCCACTGATATTAGTAATGAATTAGGGTCGTCGAGTCTATTACTGTTTCTACGGCCTGCATGATTCTGCCTCATGCCCCACTGGTCATGGCGATAGATAAGATCTAACATGTTCATTAGATTTATCTTTATTAGATGGTTAAGTGGTGTTGAATTGTTTCTTTATATAAACAGGAGTTCAGTTACTTGTAATCATTGGCTCAGCATAAACCGACCATCATCGATATCTTATTGCCATTGATTAATGTTTGCTTAAATGATATTTATTCTGAATGATAACCGATTCTTCTTACACAACCACATAAGCTTTAACCGATTTATTCTTTTGAATATGCTGGAATCGACTATTTAGTCTATCTCTTCTTATATTGGCTCTCAGAGCCGCATATTCGGGACTGTCTGGCAACACCGACATGTTATGCCCTTAATTACTGATAAACTTTTTCTTCTTATCAATTGCAGGGTCAAATTAACTGGCACGTCTCGGGAGGATTGCGCAAGATCGACCACCCTTGCGCTGAAGCTAGGCGGATCTGCTCCATCGAGCGGACCCTTTCAGCTTGCTGCGTGTGTCCTCGGCACAGGACGAAATTTTATGTCGACAAAAGGATATGATAAGCTTTATGGTTTTTGGGTTTCCTTTTTGCGAAAAGCATTACTAGTAGTGAATCCTTATGTATGTGTTTTATTAGCAATCATGATTAGTTCATTAGCTAACCATTCTATGTAAGCATATGTTCTACTTTCAAGCAAGAGTTGAGCAATCAGATCCATTCATCCCCTTTCATCTTTTAGTTCTTACTATGGTGCTAGACCATAGCCAAGTCGTACCATATCACACGGCGATTCGTGAACCAATGTATCCTAGCTGGGTACCGCAAAACAAATGCCCCGCTTGTACCCTAGGCATAAGCAAGACCAACCCACCACTCTCCTGTCAAGGGGTCTAGGTCCCAGTCTAAACATGGACACCAAGCCCCCACTCCTAAGTTCTAGACTCAGTGTGGTGCTTAGACCACCACCATCCCTGCCTCCAATCAGTCGGAGGGAGCAGCAGCATCAGCGCTAGCCGCAGTGGCAGTGGCGGTTGGGTGCAGAGAGGGCCGACGAGGCACGGCGGCCTACGACTGGCTGTGAGTGGTGTGGCTAGAGAGGCCAAGCCGCGGCCAGGCCACGGCTAGACCAAGGGCATCCTCGACCGGCCGGTGTGCGCCCACGCACGCGCGCGCACGGCATAGCCGCGCAGCGACGTAGAACGGCCACGCGTGGTGACCACGCGCCCGAGCCCAGCGGCCCGAGACTGAGTACGCACATGAATTTTAAAGCACCCGTAAACACTAAACAATTCAATTTGGAACCAAGCCATCTTGACTACTCTAAAGAGAGCACC